CGGCGAAATAGGAACATTTTCGGTGAGGGGCAGGAGGCAGGGAGCAAGGGCCCCAGCCCACGCCCACAGCCCGCAGTCTTCAGAGCTCGTAGGAAGTGGAGAGGGAGGTGGCCGTTAAAAAATTTCAACATTTTAAAAATTGTAAAACTTATAAAAAATTGTAAAACTTCTAAAAAATTGGCCTCCGGGGATCTGGAATCCTTTTTAACTTTTTATTTTTTAAACTTGGCCTGTGGGGTTCTGGAATCCTCTTTTTCATTTTTGAAAATAATTGAAATATTGGCCTCTGGGGATCTGGAGTTCTTGTAAAATTTTTAAAATTTTCGAAATTTTTGAAATTTTCGAAATTTTTGAAATTTTTGAAATTTTTGAAATTTTTGAAATTTTAAAAAAATTTTGAAACTTTTTAAAATTTTTAAATTTTGGCCTCTGGGGATCTGGAATTCTTGTAAAATTTTGAAAATTTTTAAACTTGTTGAAATTTTTGAAATTTTTAAAACTTCTAACACATTGGCCTCTTAGGATCTGGAATTCTTTTAAAATTTCTACAATGTTAAAAATTTTTGAAATTTTTGAAATTTGTAAAATTTTGGCCTCTGGTGATCTGGAATTCTTTTGAAATTTTTACAATATTAAACATTTTTGAAATTTTTATATTTTTTAAGAAATTTTGGCCTCTGGGGATCTGGAATTCTTTTGAAATTTTTACAATTTCTCAATTTTTTGAAATTTTTAAAATTTTTTAAATATTGGCCTCTGGGGATCTGGAATTCTTTTAAAGTTTGTAAAATTTCTAAAAATTTTTGAAATTTTTAAAATTTTGAAATATTGGCCTCTGGGGATCTGGAATTCTTTTAAAGTTTTTAAAATTTAAAAATTTTTTGAAATATTTAAAGTTTTTAAAATATTGGCCTCTGGGGATCTGGAATTCTTTTAAAATTCGTAAAATTTTTAAAATTTTTGAAATTTTGAAAATTTTTAAAAATTCTGGCCTCTGGGGCTCTGGAATTCTTTTAAAATATTCACAATGTTTAAAATTTTTAAAATTTTTGAAATTTGTAAAATGTTGAAAATTTTGGCCTCTGGGGATCCGGAATTCTTTTAAAACTTTTACAAGTTTTGAAATTTTTACATTTTTTAAAATTTTGGCCTCTGGGGATCTGGAATTCTTTTAAAATTTTTGAAATTTTTAAAGTTTTAAAAATTCTTGAAATTTTTAGATCTTTTAAACTATTGGCCTCTGGGGGTCTGGAATTCTTTTAAAATTTTTAAAAATTGTAAAATTGTTGAAATTTTTAAAGTTTTTGAAATTTGTAGAATTTTAGAAGAATTCCAGATCCCCAGAGGCCAAAATTTTGTAAATTTTAAAATTTAAAAAAAAAATCCAGATCCACAGAGGTCAAAATTTCAGAAAATTCAAAAATTTCAAAAGTTTTAAAAAATTTTAAAATTTTAAAAGACTTCCAGATCCCCAGAGGCCAATATTTTAAAAAAACTAAAAATGCCAAAAATTTCACAAAAATTTTAAATTTTACAAATTTTAAAAGAATTCCAGATCCCCAGAGGCCAATGTTTTAGAAATTTTAAAAACTTCAAAAGTTTTAAAAATTTTACAACTTTAAAAGAATTCCAGATCCCCAGAGGCCAATATTTCAAAATTTTAAAAACTTCAAAAATTGTAAAAATTTTACAAACTTTAAAAGAATTCCAGATCCCCAGAGGCCAATATTTTAAAAATTTTAAAAATTTCAAAAAATTGAAAAACTGTAAGAAATTTTAAAAGAATTCCAGATCCCCTGAGGCCAAAATTTGAAAATTTGTAAAAATTTCAAAATTTTTAAAATTGTAAAAATTTAATAAGAATTCCAGATCCCCAGAGGCCAATATTTTAAAAACTTTAAATATTTCAAAAAAATTTTAAATTTTAAAAACTTTAAAAGAATTCCAGATCCCCAGAGGGCAAACAAACACTGGCCACAGAGCTTCCCCTGTAATTGCTCATATTAGAACAAGCAGTTACTCAAATAACGCAGAGAGGTCCTACGCACATAGACATATACTAGCCCCCCTATTGACGAAGCTTGGCTTCCGATCGTTTTCTGCTTATGTATTGGGCTAAGTTGGGCTTTACCGTAGGAACATACGCGAATACAGTCTTGTCCATCATATTCCTGTACTACACCAGCAGCAACAATAACAACAACAGTGACACAACTGCAACATAGGACCAATCCTTTGGTTATATTCATGCATGCGATCTTCTGCTGCGCTAGCTTATACTTCGAAAGCAGCAACAACTACTGCATCCTGTTGGTCTACACACAAGTCAATGAAAACCCATCATGCACAGCTCACAATCCACAAAGCCCGATATAGGCAGACATCAGCAGATTCGCATGCAAACTGGTAACGCCGTATGATGACATTGCTATGTGGCCTATATCTGTTTTAAATGTGAAACAAGATGTGCTAAACTCTGCTAGCAGAGGCCGGCCCCCCCCTGCCTCCCCCACCGTCTCTCACACCCCCCTGCCCCCGCCCCCGCTTCCCTCGTCTTGCGCTAAACAAGACGAGCTAGCCTACATCATTCGTGAAGCTGATGCCAAAGCCTGGGAATTCTGGGGTTGTGTCTTGTTCTTCGTTGTAAAGCTTGATTACCCTTCCAACATATGGGAGGTTGTATACGAGACCAGTGAGAAGTGTGATAAGATTTTCATAGTATCGTCTATGGGATAACGCAGGGAATGTGCCACCTTTCGTGTGGGATTTTGGGTCGGAGCCTCAGCATGAAAAAGAATACTGACGTTAAAACAACATTCTGAAGCAAGCGCTCATTCACTCAAGACCTCACCTGTGTGACCTACCCGCTGCTTTCTGAAACAATGCACCTGCTTCAAGTACAACCGGGCCGGGGCGGACGACACAAGGCGTTTAAAATAACATGTATATATAAACCCTCTGTAATATATACTTTCTATGTGGCCAAAACTAAAAGGGAATCCATCGGTCACACATGAACAACTCATAGATGATATGTAGAAACAGCGCTGTCATAGGAGCATACAGAACATGCAGTACCACGTGTAACCATGTTGTGATGTACTCTGTTTAGTCTATACGGCTTTAGAGTTCAACGTCTACATATATCTCTGTAGGTGCATCTCTATATACCTGCCTCTCGATCTTGGGGATTATCGGCAGTAATGCACAACTGTACATATGCGGAAGCATCTGTAAGATCAATCAAATTACATCTGGACACATCTAAGAATAAACTGGTACATAAATGACTAATGTCAGATCTACATAAACGCTGCATATTTACTACGAACGTTTCTATATAGCACATGTGAAATGTTGTTTTGTAGTATATACTTTCTATACTGCCAAACCTAGCTTAATCCGCCAATGTCTACACACATGACTATCTCATCATGCATAGATTGAATCAGTGCTGTCATACGGACATACATAGTATGTGGAATAATGCATGCAAACATATTCAACGTCTGCATGTATCTGTAACTGTATATCTCTACATGCTGCACGTATCTTGGAAAATGGCAGCAGCAATGCACATATGTATGTACATTACATATGTGGAAGCACCTGCAAGAACAATCAGGGTACACCTGGTGACATCCATGAAAAACTTGGTACATATGACTAAAGCCAGATTTACATACATGCAGCATAGTTACTACGAACGAATACAGACATGAGTACATAGAGACATAACATATCGATAGGGACAGCCGGAAAGGATCAACACCTTTATATGTACGGAACGAGCTAGCTTAGCGAAAACTACTTACGTGCAGTGCTTTCGTTCAAAACGGACATTGCAGCCAATATCAAGTTAGATATAGGTTACAACTTTCTCGTGAATCGCACAAGACAGGAAGACTACCTGCAGAGTCCCTGTGGGAGCAATGCCGCGCGGGAAACTAGCAGCACAACCCCAGAGCAGCAGGTATCCAACCAAAACCAAAAAAAAAAAACAAAGCAAAAAAAAAAGCAGTCCTATGTTTTGGATAGGGTCCGGATGTTTGGTTGTGTGGATTTTCTGGTATTGGCGCTTCTGGTTGTTTTGTTGGTCTTTGTTTAATTTGTTTGTTTTCTGTGTGTGTTGTTGTTCTAGGTTTTTTCTATTTTGTGACCTGTCTAAACTTATCGAGCATGGAGTCTTTTTGTTTGTCTTTGTTTGGTTTGGGGTGTTCTTTGGTGTTTGTAACTTTCATAAAAGAACAGCTTTATAATTTTGTTATTCTTCTGAACATATCGAAAAGAGTCGCGTTTTTGTCGGTACTTACGGCATGTGCTTCCTCTTCCCCCCCTCCCCCTCCTTCAAAATATCATGGAGGTTGGTCAATAAGCAGGGGCAGGGAGGTTACCATACACACATGCATGCATGCATGCATACATACATATAGATGTAAATATAGATATGTGTGTGCCTAAAAAGCATCAAAACATACATACTTGCATACATACATGCATGCATACATACATGCAGATTCATAAAGTTTCATAAAGTTTCTTAATGTTTCATACATACATACGTGCATGCATGCATGCAGATACATGCAGATACATGCAGATACATACAGATGCATGCATGCATACATACGTACATACAGTTTCATACAGTTTCATAATGTTTCATACAGCTACACACATACATACATACATACATACATACATACATACATACATACATACATGCATGCACGCGTGCGGGCATGCATGCATGCATGCATGCATGCATGGATTAATAATCACACATACATACGTGCTTGAGGTTACGTTGCGCTACGCTGCACTGCACTGCACTGCGCTACGTCATGCTACGTTACGCTACATTGCGCTACGTTGAGATATATGAACGATCAAACGGCGCGAGGCTAAACGCTACATGGTGCAGCGCGACGTGACATTCTACGATGCGCGATACGTTATGCTGCGCTTTCAGCAGCTATAGTATCACAGGTCATGTTTCGCTACCTTGCGCCACATATAGCTGTACAGTTCAGAAGCAGATAGGCACCTGCCTCTGCCTCGGGCGGTGTGGAATAGTACGCAGAGCCTCGCAGCCATTGCATTTAAGTGAACAGTTCAAGTCACGGGACTGAGCGCCCGGCTGCGCTTGTACGACTCCATGGCGACAGCCTGTGACTCATAGATCTCCTGCCCGGGCTTAATGAGGGAGCTCGTAACTTGTCCCCTCGGGCAGGCGCGCACCTCCATCACGTCCGGCCACGGGAGTCTTTTTTTCGCCGGGCAGCCCGGCACCCTGGCGAAATACTGTCGCCGTGTATTCGCATACTTGATGTCTGTTGTGGCTCGGGTGATCTCAGGTGGCTGGGGACGGCACAGTGGGCGCACCACGCTCAGCGCTGCGTCGGGCAGGCGGACCTGGTGTGATCACTTGAGGCCATGACCGACAAAGAAGATACAAGGTATTACAAGGTGACACAAAAGTCCAACCTTCAGGGGGATTCCTTGTGCCTTGGCCTTCTCCACCACCGCCTGGCCTCGGGTGCAAAGTACCGCCCTCGTCTGAATCCGCGCGAGGGCCGAGGGCCGCCAAGGTTCGCTGCTTCTCCTCATCGGTCATCGGCAGAAGGGTGCCTGCAGACGCGTGCCAAAGTGCAATTTCTGGCAAATCAGCAACGCCGGGCTGGGCCTAGTGGCCGGGGTGGTTCTTCACTGCCAGGTCCTGTGAGCCATCAACTTACGCTGTGCGGTCTGTGCGGTGGAAATTCCAAGACTCCCCGCCTGCATTGGAATCCCAGCCCGGAGGGGCACGCGGCTCGGAGCCCGCGATCTCCGGTGGTGGGTTGGCCGGGGGTGCACAGGGCACCTCAGCTGCGACAGCGACTGCGACTGCACTTTTGGGACTTGGGCCGGCTGCGAGCTTTGCTTCCGCCAAAAGACCCGAGGATGGACCCCATTTTCGGCCCTTGAAGGAACCCTGATTTGCTCCAAAAACCCGGCAAAAACTCCCTCTCTTCCCATCCCACCCTTCCCGACCCTGCAGTCCTACGTCCTACGTTTGTCGGGCCGTGGCGGCCGGCACGAAGCGTTAACACTTACCCTTTGCACGAGGAATGCGCTCTCCTTCAGCCGGAGTTGCAGAGATGGGTGGCGTCTGCAAAGGAAGGGTTGACCTTGGCCAGGTTGCATCGGCCTGAGCAAAGACGGTAGCTAAGCCCGTAAGGGCCTCTGAAGGTTAAACCACACGAGATTTCCGAAAGCCCCTCCCCGAGGTCGCTTTGACGCCGAGGCTCCACGAGACCTGGGGGTGCACTGATGCTCTGAGCTGGCCCGGTGCACGCCTCACAGAGCAAGGACTGTTGGACTGATGCTGCTTCCCAGGACGTCCTGCAGCCGTGGCACGACAGGCTGGGTTGAGAGCATCGTTCACAGTCTTGACTGACGATGCCGGATTGCAGCTACCGTCAGCTACCTTATCACCTTCTCAAGGCACTGTCCGAAATGGCTGCAGAGTCGCTCAGGTGACCAGTTCCAGAAGGACAGATCGCTGCCAGGAACTGCCGGTACTGCCTTCAGACCCGGACCGTTCCACCACGAGGTCGGTGGGCCCGGGGCCATTTGAAGCTGCAGGTCGTAGGCCGTTATGCCTCTGTTGGATGCTGCAGGCTCCCCCAGGCCCAGGCGAGAGACCGACTGTCTGAGCTGTCCACGCATGCCGCCGGTGAAGCCCCTCACCCAGGCAACCTCCAAGGAGCTGGTGGTCCTCAGAAAGCAGAAAGCGGTGGAGGAGGAGCGTGAAAAAAAGAGCCCTTCCCTCGGCTCCTGCTTTTCAAAGTCGGAGCTCGGGGTGTAAAAGGCACGGTGAAGTTTGTCTGCAAGGTACGGTTCAAGTAACTCCTCGAGTTCTCGAAGAGGTCCTGAGCAATCGCTGAAACACGACCCCAAGGCCCAAGCCCCGCACTCATCTACAGCGCCTGGTATGAGATGGACAGCAGGTACTCCGAGAGCGGCTGCAAGTAGGAATAGACCGGGGTTCCTCGCGAGAGCCCCGCTTGTCTGGCCCTCCCTCCCACATCTCCCGCCTTTTGACTCGAAGATTCTGATGTCCGGGTGCGGCAGAGCCTCACAAGTAAAGCGCGACCTGAGGCCCAGGCCCCGAAAGAAGTTTCCCTTCCGGGCCTCGTCGTTGATGTCGCGAAAGAGGTTGGAAGGGCTCAACCTTCCGGGTTTAGGTCTCCACAGGCATATGCTATATGAGGCTATATGTCTTCAGCCTCAGGATGTTGGACGATATCCCGTCAATGCTCGACTGTTCCTTTCGTGCAGGTGGGATCGAGCCGCCAGCGAGGGCAAGAACGGAGGACGTGCTTACGGCGCGGAAGTCTGTGGCAGATGCTCGGTCCTTCGCGGGATAGACGACGAAGCTGTGCGGACTTTGAGGGTCTGCCTGTCGAGCTGACAGCCGGGCTTCTCTTCGCCTGGCTGCAAGTGCCTTCGGGTTCGGCATGCCCAGAACTGGGGCCAAGCTTCGCAGCCAGATGATGTCAAATCCTTAGGTGGCAACCAACACAAGACAGCACAGTTCCCAATCGCAATCGCGAGCTGCTCTGAGCTGGACACGCAGTGAGCCTGGCAGGGCACGCTCTGTCAGGGTGTACTCAATGACGATGGGACTGTTCAGCCTCGTCACACGGCTAGCTTCATAGCGAGGTGATGCTATGCGATGTCCAAACACACAAGCGCGAATTTGCCAAGCACAAAGGCCCCGCAAAGACGACTGCTGCAACAGCATCAGTTCCAATAAGTTGGTGATTTTGCTGGCAGCCGGGATGCACTGTGGTCGGCTCGGCAACTTGGGTCACTTCCGTTGCAATGTCCCAAACGAAGTCGATGTCAGAGACCTCGGCTCAAACTGCAAATTATTTTCTGGCGCCCTCCACCTCCATCTTTCTGGGCCACTTGGTCAAACATCGGCGCATTGTTGTACCGGTCGGCAACTCGCAAGGTCACGTTGTATCGGCCTTGACGCATGGTTCGAATGCTTTTGCCATACTCTGTGCTGTGAACCTGGTGACATCGTATGGATGCTGTGCTTCTTTCAAGCCGTGGACACCATCGTTCCGCACCGCTTCCGGTCACTGTTGAAGTTGAAGGACTGCTACTCCCACGGCGTGGCCGTTTGAAAGCTGATGGGTGGAATGATTTTCCGCCATGGGGGCGATGCCATTCGCCTGTCACTTGTGCTTCTGTGCTGCGTATGCCTGGAGATGCAGTGGGGCAACGCCATCACGAAATGTGCCTAAGGTCTCCAGCCTGGCAACCTGTACAAACCTCTGAAGTTTATAACCATGTACATACACACTGTGACCTAGGCCTCACATAGCACAACACGACACAGCACCACACAAACGAACACAACAGAGCGCGATCTGAAGACATGCATGCGCACTACAGAAAAAGTGAGAGAGCGTGTCCGTGTGCGCGACATTGCGAACAAAAAACTTTATGTGTACGATGTAAGCAAGCCTAGATGCAGGCATGCAAAATGAATTGAAGTGCGTCAGCGTGGCCAGGGAAGCTTCTGCAGAGATTTGACCCGACATTCCCGGCAGATCCCGGCAGTATGATCTCATGGCCCCTCCAAGCTGTTGGCCCGGCATGCAGCCTTATTTCTCGAGTGCGAACCTCTAGTTCGATGTTACTTGATGAGACATCCTTGAAGTGCAGGCCGCTCCATGTCCATGTCGGGCCCTGCCTCCAGTAACCAGACGTGTGCCAGGCCCTCCGATACCACCTCGAAGCTCAGAGCTCCTAAATTTCTCTGTGTGCTCGAGAAGAATGTCAACCCCGGTTGTCTACTTTGGCCACGGTGAGCTCCAACACAGATTGCAGCCTTGTGCAAGCCGCCACAACAACAACAGCACAAGTCTGGGAGCTGAGCTGGCTGTGAGCACACGACGGACATATGGCGATCTCCTCTCACGGGACCAGCGCCACGCTAGCGCAGCACGCAAGGCTCTTGAGGACCGCGAACAAGAAAGCGCCTTCCAGCTAAGTCAGCATTCAGCTCGCCCAGGTTCAGATCGAAAGCATAGGTGCCCTGGCGAGTGAGGTCCTGCCAACGGAGGCTCAGAGCCGAGGCGAAGCGGAGCCGAGGCCGCGACAAGGCCTGGCTCAGTTGGATCTCGTACGGCGAGTTTGTGTCCTGCATGGTCCCGCGATCAAAAGAAGTCCCACCTTACTGAAGAAGCTCCTGCACTTGCTGGCCGAAGCTCGGAAAAGCCCCGATGAAGGTCATCGTCAGCCACACCGACTCTGGGAACATGTCCTGCGAAAACCCGACGGACTGACACACTGAAATGCAAATGCAAGGGTCAATCCTCTTGCAGTGTGTAGGACACCCGCAGTGCCTGCTTTGTAAAGCCCGGCCTGCACAGCCCGAAGAAGCTCAGGCCCATGACTTCGGAGTGGCGGGGCGGGCTCTCGGGAGCCGGCACTGGTTCTATAAGCGTCGGCGGCAGTGTCTCAAGATCGTAGGACCTTGAGAAAATGGTCAATGCAAGGGCCCTAAATACAAGGAGCAGCAGTCGAAGTCTGCACCAAGGTCTGCACACCTCATACCTCTGAAGCCAGTGAATCGCTGGCGGATGGCCGAAAGAATCCTGCTGAACATCTGGGCCCTCGCTTGTTCGTATCGTTGGATTAACAGCCTTGCCTGATACTGGAGAACGACAGAGTAGGCGCCGCCATCTACCAATTGGTGCTGCGTGGATCCGTTGACATACGTTGAGGTGATGTTGCGGATGGCGGCTCGGTCACCAAAGCGCGTCACTCAAATCGCTCTCTCAGACGAAAACAACAACGTACTACTCCTCCTCCTCCTACTACTACTACCACCACTAATAATAATACTACTACTGCTGCTACTACGACTACTACTACTACTAATAATAATAATAATAATACTACCACTCCTGGTGCTGCTGCTACAACTACTACTGCTGCTACTACTACTACTACTACTACTACTACTACTACCACTACTAATACCACCACTACTACTACTACTACTACCACCACCACCACCACCACCACTACTCCTGCTGCTACTCCTGCTACT